CGCAGGCGTTCTGGTTCTGACCACATTGACAGGCAAATCCGAAACCGGATGCCGCCAACCATGCATGTATGTGTGCCCCATGCTGAGGCTGATGTTGCATTCATGATGCTTCTTCACAGCAGTTGGGCTAAGCCAACTTACACTTAAACTAGGTATTTTAATGTGGAAAAATTTCATTACATGTTATTTGGTTTGTTCATCATCATCATCATCATCATTACACGTTAGCTGGAGGTGGAAAACACCTCAGCTATTGTGCCGCAATACAAAAGAAAGGAAAAGGAAAACAGTGGCACGCCCGCTGAGTCCCCAGTAACGGATGGACATCGTTCCGGAGAGCTAACAGCTGGCTGGCGTAAAAGAGAATCGTATTATGCCTAACAGGTGAGATCGTGATTGGAGGGGGATACTAAACAGGAGGGGGATGGACAAAGGAAATCACAACACAAACGCCATTGGGGCCGGCTCCAAGCCATATCAGCAAGTGTGTCCAGCCAAACGTGTTCACCGTCCTTAGGACCCCAGCCAGGTAGTCGGGATGAACCAGCCGAGGCCAACTTCGAAGTGAGTGTTTTCATTTCTCTCGACCAAGTCATCACTTGGCCTCCCCTCCTCCTCTTCCAACCGCACCCACAACGCGCAAACAATGCACGTCGCGGGAATCGGTGTGCTGGCATGCGCAACACGTGGCCCAGCCATCGGAGCCTAGTGCGTGATATAATGGTGCTGAGCGGTTCACTCGCTCTTCCTGCACCAAATACGCGACGCCGAACACGCTCATTGCTCACGCGGTGTTTCAACCAGACATGAGCTAAGCTGCGAAGGCAGCGAAGATGGAAAGTAACTATCCTCTTTATGTCTGTCCACCTGATGGGCCAGGTTTCACAACAATATAAGAGAGTTAAAAGGATGGCTGCGTTATAAACGCTGCCCTTCAAGGAGACAATAATATCCCGTCTGCGCCATAGGTGACGGAGATTGGTAAAAGCACCTCGAGCTTTTGCTATGCGGTTCGTAACTTCATCTTCAATCCCACGGGTGCTAATCTTGCTGCCCAGGTACTTGAATTCCTGAACGACTTCTAGCAGTTCACCACCAAGCGTTAGCGCAGGGTTGGGTCCCTGCCAATGTTGGAGAAGTACTTTGCATTTCGATGGAGCAAAGCATAGCCCAAAACGATTGACAGCCAGTGCTAATTGGTCCAGTGCTCTTTGGCATGTTTGCGAGTTGTCACAGATTAGGGCAATATCGTCCGCATACTCCGTCAAGAAGTCGCTCACCAGGAAATAGCTCCACACCTTCTAGGTCGTGTCCAGCGAACGCTGTTTCCATGACTTCATCATTAGCGAAGTTGAAGCTGAAAGGTGACAGCGGGCATCCTTGTCTCACACCGCTGGTGATACTGAAGGGTGGCGACAGTTTGTCATAAACCCTCACCCTGCCCGAACTATGCGCGTACAGCGCTTTGATAATGTTTACATATTTATCAGGCACAGCAGACAGTCCCAAAGGGCACATCGATCGACTGAGTCGAAGGCACCTTTTATGTCAAGAAACACGACAACGGTGGGTCGCCAATAAACATGGCGGTGCTCCAACACTTGACGCAATGTGAAGATGTGGTCGATGCAGCCCTGACCTCGACGAAATCCGGCTTGCTCTTCACGAATCTGGCTTTCACGAGTGCCAGTCAGTCTGTGGAGAATGACAGAGGCAAGCAATTTAGAGGCAATCGAATTCAGACTGATCCCTCTATGATTGCCGCATTCCAAACGGGAGTTTCCCTTGAAAATTGGGACAATGACGGAGCGGTTCCAGTCTGTCGGGACTGTCTCCTGCTCCCAAATTTTTACTAGCAACTCGTGTAGATCATCTACTAGAGCAGGTCCCCCGAATTTGAAGAGGGCTGGGGGAATTCTATCTGCCCCTATGGCCTTATGCAATTTCAACAGCCTGATCTCACGTTCGACCTCTGCGCGTGAGGGCGGATCCGAGGAGACGGCCCAAGGAGAAGGGCGCTCAATGCCCGAAGAAGAAAGCGATAACTCAGGTTTGTTAAATTACCTTGCAAAGTGTTCAGCCCAGCGCTCCAAGCACTTTGACAAGCTGTGGATCGGCTGCCCACTCTCGTCGCGTATGGTCTCGCTAACACCAGGTCTCCTGCTGCCTGTTTCTCGTATCAGATGGAATAACTTACCATGATTACCAACGGCAGCGGCTGTTTCCATCTCAGAGGCACGATGAGACCACCAGGTTTCGCGGTCCTTCTTCAGGCTAGCACGTAGTTTCGCCCTGAGACTTTTGCGAGCCTCATTGTATTCGCTTCCAGCCGGAATACGTCGGAGAGCATCCATAAGTTCCATAGACTGTGTAGAGACCCAATGTCCGGTTTGGCAATTTGCTTTGCCACATGAAGACATGCCTGCTAACAGTAACGTTTGACGAATATGCGACCAATGATCTTCAACGGTGTTTAGTGGGCGCTTACTCAGCCCAGATGTCAGCGCACTATGGTATACATCCAGAACATCTGGCTTCGCCAGCTGGCTGGTGTCAATCCGTTCACATCGACGTTGCGGACGTCCACCGAAACGCACCAGGAGGTCGGCACAGACTAGTGCGTGGTCAGAGTCCACGCTCGTGCTCTACATCGGGCGACAATTTTGGACACAGCCTCTCCAGCGGTAACTGATCGCGATATGATCGATTTGCTTCCATGGTTGGCCCGAGGCTGGTGGCCGCCAAGTCACGCTTCTGCGGGTGCTGTGTCGAAAGTTAGTGCTCGCGAGAAAGAGGCGAGCATCTTCACACAGCTGTAGCAATCGCTCACCATTATCATTACGCGAGCTTACACCAGGTTGGCCGCCCAGATAAAGCTCATCAGAGGACAATTTTCCGACTTGGGCGTTTAGATCGCCAGCCAACACCACAGTATCCGTGCTTCTTCTGTAACGAAGGAGCTGGTGAAGTTGCTGATAGAAATCATCTTTTACCGAATCAGTGCTACAGTTTGTAGCGGCGTAAGCCGCAATGACAAACAGGCAACATTTGTCCCCGCGCGACTTCGTAGCACGGAACGAACCAGCTAATCTAACGGCGCACATCTGACTGTTGACTGGGATCCAATCAATCAGGGCAGCTTCAGCCCGGGGACTCAAAACAATGCCGACGCCAGCTTGACCGGCATTTGAAGCTGTATCATCGCCAGACAGGCGCAATGAGAATGTGCCGCCAGTGTCGCATGTGGGGGATCTCAGGGTAAGTACGGAGCTCGAACCTTGCAGGCGGGTTTCTGATAAACAGCAAATATCGATCGATAGGGTCTCTAGTGTGCGGACAAGTGTTGCCTGTTGGCCAATCTGCAGCAAAGTGCGCACGTTGAGGCATGCCAGTCTTAGCGAGACGCGAGGACTCCAAAGGGAAACGGATGAACTGACGTTGTCCGCTTGGTTGAACATGGATTTGTCAACTGGATTGGAGCGAGGCCCTGGGATTGTGTGTTTTAAAATTAGAAGACAAGCGACTACTGAAGTAAGCTGGGGGAGGGCCAAGAATTGGGGGATTGAAAATGGGGGGGGGGATATAAGTAAAGTTGGAGCGGGACGATAAGGATGAAGAAGCGCAAGAAGGGGCATAAGAAGACGGGAAGGCTTGAGCAGTAGCATCCATACCCCTATCCACCCTGCTCGATGCAGCAGATAGGGCGCCGTTTATTATCCTCTGCCAGAGCATCAAGAGATTGTTGTAGGAAAGTTTCATTGTATTGCGTGGGCAGAATACGGTCAGGTTGCCCAGGCCTAGACAGGAGAACGATTAGGGTTCTCAATCAAAGCCTTCGGTTCGAAAACCTTACCGCAAGGCAGCGGGTTTTGGCACTGGACTACGGAGCCCGTTTTGTTAAGTGAGGAGCCACCCCCATTATAACCCCCAACCTGGAGGACCAGGAGGCTGAGTTTGTCTGGCCTCTAACCATTGACCAATCTGGTATGAGTGGCTCTAAAGGTGCAAAAAAAGCACCACCCAGCATAGCTCAATGGATCTCTGAGGCACGCAAACCATCGCACCACGGTAAGATCCAGCCTCATTGCGATGGTTTGTTCTGCGTACTTGATAATCTTCTCCTTACTTGCACACGTCGCTCACGCAAATTGTGGTAAACTTGCGTAATTTTATTGCGTGGTATACTTTAAACATAACTTTCGGACATTTTGTACTTATCACGGATTCACTTATAACCAATTTCTTCTATATGCTCATTTAGCGAGTATTTATGTCGTCATATGCGTTTACTTTAATCGATATCGGCATTTCGAATGATTGGCTGTTGTTTGACATCTCAGCTGTGGCTGCGCTTCATGTGCATGATGACAAGGTGCCTACCTGTCTATTACCCACTACCTCGTCCATTCTGGCTCCAGGAGACAGTTGGTCGTTGCTGGAGGGGACGGGTTGCACGGTCATTGTGGTCGTGGTAGGCTCGAAGAGTGGTTCCATGCAGTCAGTGTGGATCGGACTACGGTCCAGCTACCGCAGTGTGTGCGTTTGATTCCCCAAATACAGCGTGCTTGAGTTTGTCTGTGAAGGAGTGTGGGCCGACTCCGTTGATGAAACGTGGCTCCCATCCGCATGCCTCCCGGTCTTATTCCTTCGGGTTTACACTGGATATGGGGTGTGTGGATGGAGCTGTGGGTGGTGCAGCGCAAGCCATGCATGGTCCCTCTGTAGGCGCAGGCGTTCTGGTTCTGACCACAGTGACAGGCAAATCCGAAACCGGATGCCGCCAACCACATATATATATATATATATATATATATATATATATATAGGTGGGCGTCCATTTAACTTTTTTGTGCTTCTTATCACGTACTAGAGGTATTCAGTTAGCGCATAAAGTAGCATTTTTATTAATTTTTCTTTTTAGTGACTTCACGTCTCACTTAATCGTGTCGCATGAGTTATTAGTGAACGCCGTTGTACATCTGTTCCCAATTTCTTTGCAGATGCAAACTCCTCATCACATGTGATGGCGCATGGCGTGGAACCAAGTTAATAGACTTGCTAGAGAATGCCCTATCAGCACTGGAGATATGCGAGCAGAACGGCCATGACGTCCAGCATTGTATTGTTCTCCGTCACCTTTCCTCATCTTCGATGGATAAAAATGGACAAATGTTGAACGGTTCCGCAACGTCGTTGATTCAGGGAGTCTCTCCGTCCTACAAGTGCGTTTATGTCATGAGTAAAGGTCTTCATCCTGTTTTTTTCCTTTTTATACACATTAAGCACTTCTTGTTACGCTAATCGTGCCCCAATGCGAGGGGCCCCTACTTTTCATGAATTCAACTTGTCAGCATGGGCATCTCGACGTGAGTATACTCACGTCGAAATGCTTATTGCTCGATTCGCCGTGATAACAAAAGTGAGTTACGTACGAGAGGATAGCAAACATGCAAAACTTTACCTGCGGTAGAGTGGATTAAAAGCGTAAATTCATGAAAATTAAAAAATAAGAATGGTAGGGGCTTCGTTCAAGACTGACATTGGTTCCAATCCAGACACACGGTAGGCAGTCAAACACCTAGCAATAATAAGTTTATTTCTCAGTGGTACGACATGCGGCCAAGCCAAACCCTTATGGTCATACATTGCATGGAGTAAGTTTAAACGGATAATAAAACTTTTTGCGAGCTCGAATGTAGTTTCTTTCCCTTGTATCTTCACCAGTCGCCCACCACTTCAACAGTTGCAAACACCCATCATTCCAGTGAATCTTTGGAGCACACAAGATGGTAACCTCCTCGATGATCCGACCACCAGCGGTGGTACAACCTCTGACTTTACCCTGGCTACCAACCAAGATTATTACGCGATTCGCTTTGTCCACAGTGGTTACTTTCATTACTCTTAACTAATAATTTCTAGTCTCCGTACCGTATCCTGTCTTGGCAATAATTTCGAGAAACAGCGTTTCAAGGCATAAATCCACACGGCGCTTCATTCCTTATAGCACGGCAACTTGTGGGCAGAGACGAGGTCAGCCATCGATGGGTCCGTTGATGCACTTTCTGCAGCCAACTCCGCTCCAGCATAATCTAGCGACCTATAAAAACCCTGTTTCACACCATGCCCACTGGTAATCTCATTGAAATGAGAAGCTTGGTCACTGCATTATTTACCTTCATGTCTCTGACGGTCGGACCGCTCGTCCGTATACATGCGGTTCAGCTAAAGGATATTCCCGCTACCACCGCTGCTCTCTGGATTTGATTGCAAGCCATTATCCGCTTGGAGTTTCACCATTAATGAGCCTGAAGAGTTAGCGATGCACTAGCACTCGTTTTGCAGACGTGATGTAATCGTTTCTTTAAACGATACGGGTCTCAATGCGGTAACTGACAAAGTTGTGCATTCCTGCTTTGACGCTAAAGTTTCTTGCTGCTTTCTCGCAACAAATTCCTCTGGCCAACTGCCTGTGTTGAAACATCACCACTGCAGTGTAGAAGTACATTAAATTATCGTCGAATCTAAATGTATTTTCAAGTTGTTTGTTGCATTAAATCAACCCGACTGTGCGCCCATTGCACTTGCTTGCCCTTCAGAGCCTGGCATTTCTTGCGCTGAAACTGAGAACATGAGTGGATATACTTACCACTGCGTATCTCGTGGCTTCAGTCACAATGACAATTTTGTTAATCCTGTTTCATCCTTTGTGCTTATTGAGATTAGCCAGACATAATTGAGAATTGGTTGGCGTGCGATGGCTTGTTAAGCCTGAGTTGTGTGCATTCACTGTGTGGCTATCGACCGTTGTGATTCATCGTTGACCCCCGGGCGGAAGTCGAAAGACTGGAGTTGACGGTCTATTGATGGTGCGTGTATTTTTGCGCCCGATCACTGTGTCGAAGTCCATACTGCTCTCACATTTATACCAGCATGTAAACTTAAACCAACGGTAGAACAACCACGCACTTGGATCCACTGCTTTGTCACTTGTCATAATTAGTTCATGTTACCACCAATTCGATCGGCTTTCTTCCAGCATATTTTAAGGGAATTGGTTCTAGACAGTATCATGAGGATTCCCTGAATATTCCGCCTACCCGCTTGACATCTTTGTTACAGCTACCTTGTCTGTGACATCAGATTACATTTTGGTGAATCTGAAACAATATGCTGTGATATCGTCTTGTTTGATGCATAAAGCATCTACCGTTTGTATTCAGTGTTGCGGTTGGGTTCTCCGCCGCTGCTGCCTACACAACCCACGCTCATTAGTGGCTGGATACTGTGCGCCGTCTTCAACTTTTCATCCTTCTTTTTATATTAACTGATTTGATGACATAGTCGTCGTTAGAAGATTGTATGACATTATATATATATATATATATATATATATATATATATATATATATATATATATATATATATATATATATATATATATATATATATATATATTCACAAATTTGAGAACCGACAAATTTGCCATGGCTGTACTGGAGCGTAAACAGGTTCATTCAACAAGCAAAGGAAAACGATCCGTTTTCTTAGTATTTCACACATCGTTTTGATTTGTTTTCGTTTCAAATTGAAATTTAAATGAAAAAGAAACGTTTGAACAGCATTGACGCCACTGATTTCAATTGCATGCCATAGCCTCCAAAACTTCCAACCATTTGGTGTCCCCAACACGTGGTCCACAACCTGGAAGATGAACAGATCCTGCTGATGCCATACATGAGGTGACATTCTTAATGTCACTTTTCCACGTCATCGGTTTTCTTTTTCACTCATGTCCAGGAATAGCAAATAATGCTTCGTGAGGCAGTCGATTAGCTGGCATGCGCAGAGCGTGACCGAGCCAACGTAAACGGGGTTCGTGAATACTACCCAGGACACGGGGGTTGTTCTCCTCGACATCTAACTTTAGTTGTTTACGTAGTGTTGCAGTATATTTGCAACAGTCTATGAATAGACATAGAGCCATCAGAAACCATGGAACACAAAAGAAGGTACAGAAATTGTAAAAGAAAACACAACACAACACATTAAAGTTCATGGTTTCGTCAGTGGGCGACATACTACCCGGTTGCCCAAGCCGAAGTGGTGTGTTGACTTAGGGGACACCACTCCGAGCCTTTGACTAAATAACCTGCCCGCAAGGCAGCGGAGCGAATGCAAGGAATCGCGCCCACTGGGTGCCGGTGACTGATTGCTCAGTTCATACGCCTTTCGTTTGTTCCTTTGTCAAACAGGGGCCCAATGCTCCCAAGAATTACAGCACAAAGTTGCTGGAATACAATGCTTCGCCAGGATGAAGCAAAGGGCAGTGACTTTATTAGTGGCGAGTCACGTTCGTCACGTCGCAGTGTTGTTAAACGGACATATGTGGCTTTTTAAAGGGAAAACGCTTGCCAGGCGAAAACCCACCACGTCCTGGAACACTGCCGCTGAACCATTTGATGGAACGGGAAAATCCCGAACCACCCAGCTGGCACCACGAGGAGGTTGTTCGGCAAGCCACCACACACGAGCGACCGTTCGCAAGCAGCGGTTGTCAAGAAATGATAGCCGTTTCATTTCTTCCGCATGATCAGACCAGGTATCACAGCCATACAGTTGGACCGCGCGGACAGTGGCACTGTACACTCTGCCTTTGAGCCTGAAACTGATGTTGCATTGGCGCCACAAATGTCTCAGGTTTGTGAATGCCAGGCGGCATTTAGCGATTCTCTGAGGTACTTCATCTCCAACACCGCTATTCGCTGGGATAGAACTCCCGAGATAAATTAAGAGATTCACCTGCTCCAGGCAATCACCTGTAATTGTGAGTATAGGCACAGGTACTTGCCAATCTTGGAGCAGTGCTTTACACTTAGATGGGACAAAATACAAACCATATTTAGATGCCTCGATCGCTAACCGGTTCGAAACATTTTACATGGCCTATGGGTCGTCCCCCAGCAAAGCGATGTCATCAGCATAGTCCTGATCCGCAACTCTGTCCCCGGGAAGGCGTTCAACGCCGCAGCTCTCGACTCTTCCCATTGCGCGGTAGGGAACTACCTCAATGGCAAAGTTGAAAAAGAACGGTGAGATAGGACAACCTTGATGTGCTCCGCTGGTAACAGCAAGCAACGAAGAAAGCCTTCCATAAGCTCTAACTTTGGCCGATGCGTGACGATAGAGTTCTTTCAGGATTGCGATAAATTTGTCGGGTACACCGTTGGTTAGCAGACAGTTCCAAAGATGTATTCTATCTATGGACTCAAAGACGGTCAGGATGTCCAAAACACATCATTTTTGTTGTTCTTCGTTGGAGGTGGCGATGTTCAGGAATTTGACGCGGCGTGAAGACCTGGTCGATGCCACCTCAACCGGTACGAAAGCCAGCTTGTTCCTTGCGAGACAAACTCTCGAGTAGCTGAAAACCTGCGGAGCAATATGGACACAAAAACCTTAGGCGCGACCGAGATAAGTGGTATTCCTCGATAGTTGGTGCAATCGGCGCGGGAGCCTTTCTTGTAGATGGGGATCACGATAGATCACCTCAATAGTTGGGAATCTTCTTATCGACCAGTTCGCTAACAACTGTATTCCCTCCATCTTTGATTAGGGCCGTATGAAGGCTATCAGGGCCTGGGGCTTTGTATCGTTTCAGAGTTTGGATTTCTCTCGGAATCTCCGCATCAGGAGGAGGATCTGTGCACACAGGCCATGCACCACATGATAGGAAAGGGGATGTCACCGGTGGTTGAGCTGGATAATTAAATTGAAGAACAAACTGCTCTGCCCAGTGATCCACATGACTGCGTATGTTAGTGATCATCGTACCGTCTGAAGCGCAGATTACCTAACTGATGGCATGTGATTTGCATCCGGTGGATCTGATGAGACAAAATAATCTGCGGGTGTTCCCAGCAGCGGCAACAGCTTCCATTTCCTTGGCTCTTTTGAACCACGAAGATTCACGATCACGGCGAAGACTTGCTTTTAATTGTTGAGAAATGGTTCGTCGGAGTTCATTGTGCTCCACACTTCGACGGTCAAGTAGTTCCGACAATGTCGCTGAGATCCAACTTTTAGCTGTTGAATGAACAAAATCACGGGTAGACAGGCCCGCAGAAAACATGACCTGTTGTAAACGTAGCCAATGCTGGTCAACGTCCACAGGAGGGGGAAAAATGAGATTATCATTTAGCCTTCGTTGATATTGCACTTG